GGATACAAATAGAAAAATGAGGTAATCCCTGATCTCCAGAAGCTCACATTCTAATAGGGGAGACAATACATACGGAAAGTTTTAGCAGCAAGTCAAATGGAAATCTCATGGTCTTTAGAGTTTAGTAGCAAAGCAGACGGGAATGTCTCTTCCTTAATGTTATTTCCAGAGTTTTTTTTTAAAGGCAATTTCTGATATTGAACCATTTGATAATGCTAAGGACTGACGGTTTTCTTTTTTTGAGTTGTTGGTAGATGAAGTTGTAGCACTGGCAAAAGGAGGTGCCAGGATGAAGCTTCAGCTTGTTTTCTAGGGTGATGGCTGTGAAGCACTGACATCCCAAAAGCTTTTGGGTTCAGTTCCTTGGTTGTCTGCATCTGAGCATGGGGGAGATGGTGGCTAAAGTGGTGGTAGTGGCTTGAGTTGCCCATCTGGTCCTGATGAGGAAGGTGATCCTTTTATCCATAATGATCTCCCCCATCTATAATGGTTGCAGAGGATGGTCTGGAAGCAAACCCTTGTGTTCAGGGTCCTGGCCTGTCTCTATCAGGCTCCCAGTGGGATGGTCAAAGAGGTGGTGAAGGACGACAGGAAATAAGACAGGAAAGGTAAGTGGGCAACATTTGCAGAGGGTTTTAAAAGCCAAACTCAGGATTTTATATTTATATATTTACATGTGATACATACATACATATATTTCATATTTACTCTAGAGGTAAAAGAGACCCACTGAAGCTCTTCAAGCTGGTGAGTGACATGGTCCCATTTGTGTTTTAGGAATATCAATTTCGCAACTGTGAGGAGAATAGTTTGGAGAAGAGAGATTTAAGAAGGGAGTCCAAGTAGGTTATTGCTATAGCCCAGGCAAGAAATTATGAGGTCTATGCTAAAGGCCATGTGGACAGAGAGAAGAAAGATGTAAAAGATGCTGTGAAGACAGAATCAATGACTTGGAAAAGGACTGGATCTAGGAGAAGGGGAGAGGAGGTGATGAGAGGAGGAAAGAATTGAGGATGACTCCCTTTTGGATTTCTGAAGTTGAAAATCAGTCTAATGTTTTTAGCTCAGTTTTCCTAGTATCCATAATATATAGACCTATAATAATCTCTGCAGTTAAACCAAGGAAGGTAGCATTTAAAATCATTAGCTAAGTGGGATAATATTGTAGCTCTGAAATGTCAAAATTCTAAATATTTAGAATAGCAATGACATTAGGACTGTCATATCCAAATACTTTAGTATGAGTTAACTGAAAACAAGACATTTGCATAGCACTTTAAAATTTGTAAAATGCTTTGTGGACCCTTTCTCATCAAACCATGACAACACACTGAAGTAGGTACTAGTGTCAAAATCCCCATTTTAGATGAAGTAATTGAGGTAAAGAGAGGTTAAGTGACTTGCCCAAGGTCACATAGAAAAAATGTGGGAGGCAGAATTCAAATGTAGGTCTTTCTGACTCCAAATTCATTACACTACATTGACTCACTGACGTGATTTCGACTTTCAAAGGTGAAGAAAGCAACTAATTGTGAAACCAAGTATCTGGTTCTGTCTTATCTTGTATTTCTAGAGCTCAATATCATAGAAAATAGCCTCCGGCAGATTAGATCCATGATGATCCAAACACTTGGTCACTAACACAGGCAACGCTGTTATTTCCAAGTAGAAAAACTGAAAGCATCTGCTCAACTTGCTCTGAACTTTTGATGTTTTGTTGCCAGATTGTTTTAATCACAACTGTTGCTACCCCTTTTAACTCAACTATGTATTACATTTATCTTCCAATACTGTACCATGTCCCAGTATCATTTTCTTGTAAAAAAAAAAAAATTAAAAAAACCCCCTAACTTTTCTTCAGCTTGAGGAAAAGCTTCCTTTGCACGCCATCAAGACTGTCTTTGGCTGAATGTCTATTCCTTTTTTTTTTTGGTTAGGCAACTGGGGTTGACTTGCCCAGTCACACAGCTAGTGTCAAGTGTTTGGTGTGAGACTGGATTTGAACTCAGGTCCTCCTGACTTCAGGGCCAGTGCTCTATCCACTGCATCACCTAGCTGCCCCTGAATGTCTATTCCTTTACAACCATAAGAAATACCTTGATGAAACAAGAAAATGAAAGGTAGTAGATCAATTCTTTGATGATGATGATGGCCAAGAACCATTAGTCTCCAACTCACTCAGTGAGCCTGGTTTGGAGCTTTTCCCTTCTCCTATAACTGAAGCCCCAATCTAGGTAGGTAAGAAACTGGATTTTTTAATCTCTAAATAGGGATTTGGCGAGGGTTGGGCTCTTGGCTGAATAGCTGGATCAGCCAACATACAAATGACCAGAAAGCAAAAGTACAGCTTGGTCAACGTGAAAAGGTTCTCAGTAGTGTTTAACATTCCTACCTTGGTAAGCCATTGGATGAAATGGTTCAGCTTAACAACTTAGTTTAAAACCTAATCCTTTCATTACTTTGTGAGCTGGTTGGTTTGTTAGTTTCTGGTATCAGTAGTTTGTATGTCTTTCAGTCTGCAATTTGTACCATACTGTCTTGACCAATCTGGTCAAGACCATAGATTTGAGGGGTCTCCATGGAGGCTTTGGTACCCAGTTCTGACAAAACCTGCCAAGGAACTAGACAAAAGTAGATGTCTTAAAAGGATATTGTTTTGTCTTATTTCCCTGGGCAGGGGTGGGGTGAAGGGGGTGGGTAGGTAATGAAAGAATCTTTGGAAGTTTTTTGTTTAGCAGCTTGGTGTGAGCAAATTACCTGTCAAAGTGTGGCTCTAGTATTATATCTGAAAGGCTAATTTTTCTGCTTATTCTACAAGGCTCATATGTTTGTCAGAAGCTCCTGAAATTTCCTGGTCCTGTTTGCCAGGTCTACCTACTCCTGGTTTGCCATGGTTATAAGGTAAATATGGGACCTGGTTTTTAGTCTAAATTTCCTGGGCCTCCAGAGAGTGTTAGTAGCCTCTGCTTGGCTTCTACCTGTTATCTCCCTCCATGACCTTTCTCCCTTTAGGCACATAAGGTGTAGAAAAACTGGTTGGGAACTGAAAACTACAAATTTCGTCATCACCCCAGGCCCCTTGCAAACTTGACAGCATCTATTTTGTATTGTGTTCATATTGCTTGGTACCTTGGTGGGAAGTGAGACAACTCCAGAATAGTCCACGACTCCCTAAAGACATCTGCTTATTTTATGTATAACTGATACAGTTGTAGAAACTGCAAGGTTTTAAAATATCTAGGTAATTATACTTTACAATGAAAAAAAATACAATGCACAAAGCTGCTTGTGAATGAAGTCCAAGCAGAGTCAAAACTGAAAACAATCCCAGAAAGTTAACTATTTTGTTGTCTTTCTAGTTGTATGGATGATTGAATACCAGCAAGTTTTTTTTTCTTCCATATTTCATGTGTTGCTTTCTCTATCTGAATACTTAAATGAAAAGGGGTAGACACTAATGAAAGTAAGAGTGTGATCACTCAGGACATAAACAAGAACGTGGAAATTGCTGAGAAAGATTCTCATTCTTGAGATGTGTGTAAAGAGACTAAGTTTAAGACTCCATAGGACAAATATATGAATAGAATAAAACACAATCTCCTGAAGATGAATTTACCAATTATAATGGGAACAAAACTTAATTTGTACTGAATTTCATAGTGAAATTTATTTTGACACAAAAAATGGGCATTCCCATGTACAGGGTGTCCCAAAATCCTTAGATTTCACTGTACCACTTGCCTTTAAATATAAATTAAACTTCATAACTGTCTTAATGACATTATCTCCTACATGACAGAAATATTTTGTGCAGGCTTAGCCTCAGAGTGGAAGGGTATTTTCATTCAATGAATGGCATTCAAGATGATTACTAGAAGTAATTTAAATTAACCCTTCCCTAGAAGTGACAGTTCTTAATGTCCATTGAGGAATTTTTGTGGGGGAAAAAAAATCAGTACTGTATTTTTAGTAGAAGAGTTTCACTTGTACATTTGAGTCAGTCTGATTAACATCAGTCTGATATGATTGAATTCAATTGCTTGGCAAATTCAAACAAAGCCATTTGATTAATAAGAAAATAGAATGCTTAGTCCAATATAAAGAGAAGTGTTTTAATTCGCAAGACACAGAAACACTGAGAAAAAGAGAAAGTACAACTAATCATATTATTTAAACATGTAAAACATAATTTGGAAGTAGTTTAAGTTAAAGATAAAAAGAAAGCAGTAGTATATTAAAGGGAAAGTGAAATACAGGCATACAAAGAAAAACTGAATGACTTGCAAGACATTTGCAAGCTACTTAATAGTTAGAAAACTGAATGGATAGGACAACATTAGCAACTGAGACAAATAATTACAAGAAAGTTTGAATCAGCACAATGAACTTAAAATTCAATTAAAAGACAATAAGGACCGAAGAAAGATGTTCTTGACATTGAAAGAAAACCCTGAAAAGGACCCACATGTACAAAAACATTCATAGCAGCACTTTTTGTGGTGGCTAAGAATTGGAAATTGAGAGGATGCCCATCAATTGGGGAATGGCTGAGCAAGTTGTGGTATATGAATGTAATGGAATACTATTGTGCTGTAAGAAATGATGAACAGGCTGACTTCAGAAAAACCTGGAAAGACTTGTATGGTTTGATGCTGAGTGAAGTGAGCAGAACCAAGAGAACGCTGTACACAATCACAGTAAGACATCTCCAGAGGACTCGTGATGGAAAATGCTATCCACATCCAAAGAAAGAACTATTGAAGTTGAACTGCTTTTTTTTCCTCTTCCGTTGTTTCCTCTTTCTGATGGTTCCTCCTATTGGTTTTAATTTTTACTTACAACTTCACTAATGTGAAAATGTTTAATAGGAATGTAAATGTATATCCTATATCAGATTGTGCACCGTGTTGGGGAAGAAGGAGGAGAAAAATTTTAAACTCAAAAGCATATAGAAGTGATTGTTGATAAATCAAAATAAATTAAAAAAAGAAAACCCTAAGCACAGAAGACAAAAATTTTTTTTAATGTAATTAACTGTGTAGCAGGCATTAACTAATAACAAGCCCAAACTAGTCTTTAATTTCTGATTCACTAACAGCAGAGGAAGAACAAGAAAGATTTTTATAACTGACAGGTTGAGGGCAGGTCATGAATTTTAAGCCCAAAAATAAATACAAATCAGAAATATGCCTATATATTTTAATGGGCATTCAGTCATCCTTTGAACATTGAATTTAAAAAACTGAGTTTAAGACTAAATGAATTTTCTAAGCTTAAAACATCCAAATAAGTTTGTCAATACACAATGTCTAAAGCTATCTGCATGTTCTTCCCCCCACTACATGCTTTATAGCACTTCAGTTTATTTGATACTGAACTCATTCCAATATTTTAATAGTCACTTTGTTCTGGAATAATGAGTAAGCATATTGTGAATACCACGTAGTTCACAAACTGGGAATATTTGGAAATGTAATCAAAATGTGAAATAGACCACCATACTGTAAATGACGAATTTGGTGATTTGCTCCTTGTAAATCAGAACTCCACTGAGTAAACCCTTACGTTTTTCAAAAATTATGTTAGAGTTGTAAATAAATCCCAATATACACCAGCACTAATAGTAACAAATCTCATCTTGCTTTAAGGGAAAGGAATGGTACTGCTGTGTAAAGCACAATCTCTTGGGGCTATTTACTGGTCTATGATTACTTTTATCCTGGTAGAAGTGTTCATGTTGACAAAACAGCAACTTACCATGCTAGGAAAAAATGTCAAATGCCACCAAGGGTTCTGGAATGGCACATCCATATGAGTCACAGGTGACGACAGACTGCTAGGAAGGTCAGGATGACAGTCCAACAAAGGCAGGGCCAGGATCCTCCTGACCCATTCCTTTATTATTTTGCTTCTTCCCTTTGAATGGGTTTCCCATCTCTAAGACCTTAAGATTGACTTCAGATCCATGGTGTACAACTGCACTCAAAGATTTACTCCCATACCTTGCTCATTTTCACCATGACGTGGTGGGCATAAGCAAAAGTGAGACTGAATAGTAAAGACTGATTTGCTCCAAAATTTTCCCTGTTGGCTCAACGATATGAGCCACCCTATTTACCTGTAATAAAAAAGAAAGCACACCCCATCAAGAGGTCTACCACCAACAGCTGAACTGGATTTACTCCACATAAATTTTAACGGGGAATCAATTATATGTTGACAACTGATTGATGACACTATCTTGAATTATTTTATGGCCCTAATGAAAGTATATGGAATCAAGTTTCTATGTTTTTTCTTTTGTTGTGCTTCCAGGAGATTTTGACACTACTACAAAGGCCTACGGGTAGGAAAAATCTTTGTCATGGGGTTTGACAAAGTGTTCAAGGCTGGTCCTTTTGGGTTTAAGCTTCTGGTGTCAGTACCTGACATGTTAAATGTATGGTTTGAAAGGATCGTGCCTTCTTGTTATTACTACTGAAGATTTGGGCAGCCAACATCTGGTATCGCTTGAGGTCGATTCCTCTGTTTTTGTTGCAGAGTTCTTCTAGACAAGGCTGTGATGTCTGCTGTTCTGATGATCTAAATCATTTGCTCCCCAAAGTCCTGGTTGCTGGCTGTTTTGTCTCGTTTCTAATTCTTTACAGCAGTTGTGGGTTTTTTTTCCCCCCAGGTCCTAGTGATTGGCTGTCCCTATCTGTCAAGTCTCTAGCTGCTGGTCTTTTCTACTTTAGCCACTGACTTAAGTATTATATGAGTATGATCTGGCACAAAAGGGGGGGGGAAGAGAAGGGATAGTGGTGCTCTAACGTACCCCTGTGAGGTAGCCTTGCCTCTCCTGAAGGAATTTGGGCTTACTGTTTGTATGTCCTCTATTGTTCTAGGGTTTGTCAGCTTCAGAAAAGTGTATTTTTAAGCACTGGATGATTCCAGGGGAGGAAAAGGCAAAAAAAAAAGTCCCTTGAAAAATAAAACTGCAAAAATGAAATAAAAATTAACATAAAAGTTATATTTCTGTGGTGTGGCAAAGAGAAAAACTGAGAGCCTGCCCAAAGGAAAACTAGAATGAGTCCAGAAAGTTAACTATTTTCCTATCATTTTTTCAAATGAAAGAGTAAAATTTAGCTTCTTTCTCTGTAAAGTATATATAAACCCCTATGTGAGAAAGGATAAAAAACAGAGTCAATTTTAAAAGAAAATGGGAATTTCCCCAATTTGAATAGATTCCTTCTGTTCTCAGATATGGCCAATCTGGGATCAAAGAAAGGATACAAAAATGACAAGGCATACCAAACTAAATTTATACAGGATTTCAAAATGAAGTTTCTCTGGCATTACTAATGAATTTTTAAACTGCAAATTGAGAAATCTGAATATTTGCAATAAAAGCTATTCTTTTAAATTTTATCTAATATGAAGATTGTGGGATTAGTTCCCCCAAACCCTGGACTGACTTATCTCCTGTAGACTAAAGATAACTTTTATGTGGGTTTAGCCTTGGAACAGAAAGGGTGTTCTGCTGCTCTTAGAACAAATTGATTTAAAATGATTTATCACTCAATATGGTGCCCATTTTCCCAAGATCATAAAAACAATCTGTTTTACTCAGCCAGGAGGGAAAAGCACCACTGTGGATATGAATGTCTTTTCCCCTGCAGCTACAAGAAATAAAGAACACTGTGGCTAGGCAAAGAATGAGAAAAAATACTGATGTCAATTCTCGGCAGGAGTGACCTTCCATATGCTGACTCAAGCTATCCTTGCTGAAAGAACCAGAGGAATCTCTTCTATACCATCTAATCTTGTAGTTCTGTTCATGGCCGAAGTCTATCACTTTAAGAACTTACACTAAGTTCTCTTTACCACCTACAAAAGAAAATTGCCAAGGTTTTCTATGCATTACACTACAAGGAGGACACTGACTCCAACAGTTTTGATTCACCATGATCACACCTGCCAACTGATGCCAAGCCAAATGCTGACTGGGAGGGCTGTTTAAGACCAGTGCTGGATAGATTATCTACTGGTGAAGAGCACTTGTCACCCTGGAGCAAAACCAACTATACTATGTCTGTGGGAACAGACTGTTACATGGATATAGAGGATCCTACACAGATCAGATAGACCACTGATTAGTTAACAAAATGAAGTCCACACTATAACAGGACAACAATGTTCTACCTATATCCCTGACTTTCCTGGCAAAGTTACACAGTATTAACTGCATAGCAATGCCATTAATAGGTTTCATAATGATACTCTCCCTTCCCCCCCTCCCAAGTATCTGTTCACAACTGATTCATACTAGGTAGTCCTTAGTAAGCATGAAAGGTGGGTCACAAGAAGAATCTCATCTCTTATGTGTCATTATCCTAACTTGCTACCTCTCCCAAGCTTTCTGCCACCACTTAATTCTTCCCCAAGGAAACAGGCCTATCTAATTGTCCTTGATCTCTATAATGATCATCAGTACAGAAGTGATGATGGCTGCCTCATCAGACTCACTGACCAGGAAGCAAGTCCCAAATTCTAGGATGGTACTTGTGCTCTAGAAGCACAAAACATGAGTAATTTAGCTTCAAGACTTTAAGTCTATTAATTACAAGATCTTGATATTACACAGAGATATTGGTAGGTTAGATGTTGCTAACCTGAAGTATTATGGTAAACTGTCTATATCATGAGGAAGCTTGTTGTTTCTAGGCAAAACAAATGAAAATACCTGCTCGGCTTGCTGTAATCAATTATCCTGCTAACATTACTTGCTTCCAGAACCTGTTCAGGAACTGTGCCTTTGCCTCAATAAATCAACTTTTTACATCTATCATTTGTCTTTCAACTCTGTATTAACTCAATGATGTCTCAAATATGTCCATCTATCTTTTTCATCTATACAAAGATCATAAAAATACTGACCTTTGTTTAGGTTTAAGAAGCTTCTTCAAAACACTAAGAATATGTGAATCTCTCCCCTACAGCTTTAAGAAATGCTTTATTTAAGCAAGAAATCTCAAGTACTGAGTCAATTCTTCAACACTACCAATGTCTTCTCACACTGTGCAACTCCTATTTAGATCCTTCTGAAAATTCTCCACTTGGTGATCTACCCAATATGCTAGAGACTTCCTCTTGATCCTGGCCAAGTACTTGCCAATTATGAGAGAAGGACTCATGGCAGTGACACCATTTCACCAAGGGCCCCAATCATGCTCACTTTACCCTCAGCTTAATGTACTCTCCAGCCCATTCCATTTCCTTAGCAGTACAGCTATGCCCCGACCACGGATACCCTCTTAATCACATTCTCTCGAAGATTTCTTGAGAATAATCTAGTTCCTTGTTTTGTATGCCAAGTGCATACAAACATACAAACTAAACATTGTTTATGGCACATAGGAAGCACTTACTAAATTCTTTCTACCTAGCTATCTCTAGACATTGTGTGGATACCGATGAATTATTGATCTCTCATATCATGATCAGCCCAGCTCCTTTTCTGTTCAATGGCCCTGTCAGCCTTTATACTTTTTCTTCTTCAATTCTTCATTAGAGAGGCACTGTGACAAAGCAGATAGAGCACTGGGTCTACAATCAGGAAGACTTAGATTAAATCTCACCCTGAATGCTCACCACCTGAGCTTGTTACTCTACCTCTCATGAGCCTCAGGTTCCTCGTTTGTAAGAGGCCCAATAACAGAATCTAGACCTCACAGGACTACTTTAGGGATGCAATGGGGAGAGTACAAAAGTATGAAATGTCAGCTTGTGCCTCCACTGCCCTTTGGTTGGCTGACAACTTTAAGTCTTCTTCAACGGACTGTTATTCTGTTACTTACAACTGCATAGCATCAACAATAAAATGCTTACATTAAAAATGATGGACTTTTGTTTTGGCAAGAATCTTGAGGTCATTAAAAGCACCACAAAATTTTCCTAAAGCAATCTAGTCCATTCTCTGCCTCTTTAGATCTAGTCCCAGCTCATTATCTATCTACAGTTCTGTCCAAGTTCTACATAATAATGAACCAACTCTACATGCTGTCCACCCGTGGTCTGGAAAATAGATATTTTTCAATCATTTGTTTTTTTCCCATTTGGGAAAACTTTTATGAATTCTTTTATGATCAATGCAATGTCCTATGGAAACAGGAACATATGGAGGACTTCACCATCTATGGGGAATCCTTCTTCCATTTGACCTTCATCTAGAATGGTGGAAACATTGTTGGTAAGCATATATCCTTCCTCTTTTATATTTACAATCAGTGTCCGAGGTCTCTTTTGATTTTTCAAGGACTCTCACATAATTCTGACTTGTAAAGAGAAGTGAGTCTTTAGGATACAGCTGCTCTCCCCATCTTTGTGTTCTTTAGTGCCGTTTCATATCGTGAATTTGTTAATAGAATCTGGGTGAGCAGAGTAGTTGTGACAAATTATCAACTGTAAAAAAATAAACAAAAAAAGCTTTTAAAAAAAACCTTTCCAAACAAGACAGTAACTTTAACATACAAAAAAATTACTTACTCTTTTCAGTAGTTTACTTTGTTGTATCCCTCTTTCATTTAAATTTGGGATAAAGTGCTTTGCTGGATCCTGGTTTAAATGCTATTGGAGTGGCTAATTTTGAATCATACTTTGATAACAGCTAAAATTTGAAAAACAAAACAACACATTTTTGCTACATTATCTGAAAAAAGTACATTTGGAAGGCAACTAAAAACACTTAGAAAAGCATCAACATTCTGTCTTTACAATATTTTTGGAAAAATCCTAGTGTGTGTTATGTGTCTATGTACACAAAGATGCATGTATAAATTATGTTTGCAGCATATATGCACTTTAGAAAAATTTACAATAATGTGGAGAAAGTAAACATTTTATCTGAGAGCTGGAGGTGAGAATGAGGCAAGGCCTGCATCTGTGGGTAGAAAGAAGGATTAGGGATTAAGACTTGTTCTATGTAGCTCTGAAAGCCAGAATGTATAGCAGTTACAGAGAAGAAAATTTTATCTCAGTATAAGAAAAGCAGTTTTTAACCATCAGAGTTACCCTAAAGTAGAAGGTGAGCTATTGGGTTCACTATGACAGGAGTCTCCTATCTATGAAACATTCTATAATATCCCTATCTGGAAAGCATCCTTTTCCTCTTGCATACCAGAAGAACTTGCATACCAACTCTGTAAGTATTTTATGCACTTATCATGTTTAAATATATTAGATATTTGTGTATGCCGTATATCCCCTATTAGACTTTAAGTTCTTACAGGGCAAGAACTATCTCTTACTGTTATGTCTTCAGTGTCTAGCACATATCAGGTATGTAATAAAAGTCTACTGAACTGGTAACTGGTTGAATGTGTGGAATAGAGAGCAAGGGGAAAAAAAATATGCCAAGGTATTATGCCTGTGTAACTAGAATGGCTAGCACCAGTAACAGAAAAAAGAAAAATAGATTTTGGAAAGGCTATGAATCTGTTTTTGGACATTACGAACAAGGGGTAATAATCAGAGATGTCTAGCAGGCAATTGTGGAAATGAAGAGATGGAATTCAATAGAGGTCATGGCTGGAGGTTTTCAAGTCACAAGTGAATAAGCTTGCCAAGGGAGAGTACAGCAAACAGAAGAGGGCCAAAAACAGAGTTTTGGAGATTGCCAATATTTAAGGATCAGGAGAAGGAAAAGGAGACAGTTGTGTTAATCAATAAACACTGTTAGACATCGGGAATACGAAGAAAGGCAAACAAGTTCTTGTTCTCAAGGAGATTATAATCTGGTGGGAAATGAAGAGACAACTGACCTGGGCACCTTCTTAAATGGAAGTTCTGGGAGGAGGGGTCTCTACCTTTTAATTAAAAGGATGGAATGGGCTGCAGGGACAGAGCAGTAAGTTCCAGGGCTGAAGTGATCTTGGAGAAGTACAGGAATGTAGCTGGATGGGACATATTGGGCAGAAAAACAAAGAAAAGTACAATGCCACAAAAACCCAAGAAGGAAAGACTACTCAATAGCATGTCATATGCTAGAGAGGGGTCAGGGAGAAGATATTGGCAACCTCTGAAAGAGTAATTTTTGTCTTACTTTTCTTTTCTGAGAAAGTAATTCAATAAAATAGTGGATGCAGAAATTGTAAGGAATTTTAAGGAAAGTTAAAAATTTATATTGTAAGGAAGACTGTAGACAATGAAGAAGAAACAGTGAATGCAGACTACTTGTTGAAGAAATGTGGCTTGAGATAGTAGCAGGTTAAAGGAAAAGTGATCAGTGAGATAAGGAACCAGTGAAAAGAAAAATCTGAAGATATATGAGAGGGAAAGGGAATAACTGATTAAGCAAGGATATGGAGGAATTAGAAAGTAGTATTATTAAAAAAATCTTTCTGGATTAGTTTTAGATGAAGGTGGACGGCAGTTCTTAATCTAGGGTCTTTGAAATTGTTTGAACAAAACAGAAATATCAAACATAATGCATGTACTTAAGAAAAAAATAACCTGGAAGATATCATCCGGAATTGTAGTTACTTCTGGAGGCGTAGGCGTTCTTAGCAGGTTTTCACTGTCAGAAATCTTGGGAGGAGGGAGTTCTCCATGATGTTCAAAGTACTTGGCAGATTGTGAAACCAATGAAGTACAATCTTCTGAATCCAAATGGCTTGGCAAAATATTTGAGTCTGATGTTGGTGAAATTATTATTCCCTGTTGTATAAAAGTGACCAATACTTTTACATAACAATAAAATTTATTTAGCAAACAAAATTAAATCAATCAACAAGCATTTATAAGCATCTACTATGTGATAGATAGTGTGCTAGGCACCAGAGATATAAATACATACATAATTATATGTATGCGCATACATAAATGCTTGTGTATATGAGTATATACTTACAAACATGCATACAGTAATATATGAATATAAAAAAGACAAATACATAGATAATAAATCCAAATATATCCCAAATGGTTACATACAAGGTACTTTAAGAGAGAAAGCACAAACAATTCATATTAATCATTATTAGTTAATATGGTATATGCTTCCTCGCTTCCTCACCAGATTACATAGCAGCACAGAGGACCACCCATCACCTTATTTTTTTCTAATTTATAAACTTACTTTTGTTTCTTTTTTTAATCCACCCATTTTAAAGTTTGGATGAAGTAGTATTTCTTTGTCATTAGTGGAGAGACCAAGCTCTTCAGGTTTAGAGACATTTAAAACTGGACTGCTGTTTCTACATGGGACTTTCAAGCCAGGAGTGAAGAATACAGGTCCCAAAGGGTAATTGGCATGGTTAGCACCTAGAATAGACACATATATAACATGGGAAGAAAGTTATAAAGATTTTAACTTTTAGGTTGCAAGCCCTGACATACTAGCATGGCCAAATAGGAAATGCATTTTATTTTATTTTATTTCTTTTTAGGCAACTGGGGTTAACTAACTTGCTCAGTCACACAGCTAGTAAGCGTCAAGGGCTTGGTCTGACGCCGGATTTGAACTCAGATACTACTGACTTCAGGGCCGGTGCTCTATCCAGTGCACAACCTAGCTGCCCCCTAGGAAATGCATTTTAAACACCGATTTTTAATTCCTCCCTCCCCCATCCCATTATTTTTGGAAACACTTATAAATGATGAGTTAAATCAGGTAATGAAGCTCTGTGGACAGCCACAGTAAGGACTAAGTAGGTATTTAGCTAGAATGAACAACTGCTTTATAAATCAGCCAACTACTTAAATACTTATTGTAATATATGCCCCAAAATGGTGAATATATATGAGAAATAAATCTTTTTCTTAATGCTGTTCATAAACTAGAGAAAAAAGACCAGAGACAAATCAAAGTCTTCTTATACTTCTTTATATCCCCTACAGCATTTTATATGGAGTAGGTATTCTGGGTAACTCCATGTGCTGTAGTGTAGGGCTGGCCTTAAGATTCAGAAGGACATAGGTTCAAGTCCTGTCTCTAACACTTACCATGTTCTATAATCAGACAAATCATTTTAATAGCTCAGTGATTCTGGCAACTACCCATCTAACACTTTTTTATCTTTATTAGCGAACCATTTCTATGATGGGATTTCCCTATAATAATGAAACCACAAGCCCAGTCTTGCCCCCATTTACAAAATAAAACAGGCTCAAGAAATATTTTTCTTGAGAATACAGGTCCCAAAGGGTAATTGGCATGGTTAGCACCTAGAATAGACACATATATAACATGGGAAGAAAGTTATAAAGAGCACTAAAAATACATAATCAAGTGTTAAGTGGTATGTTAACATTATGAGAAAATCTTCCTACTTACAGTACTTGAAAAAGTGCCGTAAGTCAAAATGACACATACTGAATCCAAGAACTGTTATAATATGGTGGTGTATCCCTAACTAAGGATTTGATGATGGTCAACTTTCTATATAATTGACCACAAATATATTTCATTTTGTCAAATGACAAGACAGTCAGGTTTTTTAATTAGTAGTAGAATCCCTAGAGACTGACGCTAAGATTTGATTTTTTATTGGAAAGAAAAAAAGGATTAGGGCTAGTGGAAAATGAAGTCTCCTAATACGTAGACAACACTAATCTCCTCAGGACAATAAAATGCTGTGCCTGCAGAAATGAACTATGAGAAAATCTGGTGAGGCTCTTTCTGTAGATGGGGAGAAAAGCAGGTAAAGGGTCAATACATTTAGCCAAAAATAATCCCAGCTTTTTATGTGCAATTACAGAATGATGCCCTCCAGTTTATCAGTTAATCTACAAGTGGGTGCACACAGTTCCCTGCTCCCATCAGAAAAGCCCACAAAATGATAGCCATTAACTAATTATGAAGAAAGGGGACTGGAAACTTTTTTCCATTCTTGGCCCTGCCGCATAGATGGGAAAAATGTTCCATTAGTGTGTCCTGTCTTTATAAGAAATGGTCCAAGGCCAGAGCACAGAGACCTCCAAAAGGAAGGTGAATGAGGAAAGGTGGAGCTAAGTGACAGAAGGCCAAAAGGAAAAAAAAAAGCCTTTTCTTTTTTCTGAGAAAGAAGGGGGGGAGATTTCTCTGTGTCTATGGCAGCTCCATGGTGAGGGAGGCACATATCAGAAGCTCACAAACTGGAGTTAAAAAAGAAGAAACTATAGGAGAAAGGTGATTACTCTAAGGCCTTAGGCCTTTCCCCCTAGAGCTGAGGGTTGGGGGAAAACAGATATAGGAAGGCTGATACACTAGTCACCTTGTCAACTAACAAGAAAGAACAGCAACAGGAAAAAAAAAAGTAAAACAAGGTCATGCAAAACACAGATTCATTAAGACTACTGTAACCCTGTAAATTTAACCCTCATCTTGCTTTTTTTTCATCCCCTCTGTTATTTCCCCACACTGTATACTTATTTTTAAGAATTTATGATACTTAGACTTTTCCTAAAAAAGGTATATACTATCTCTAAGAGCTGGAGAGGCAGTTATCAAAGTCCACAAAGAACCTTTTTCCTAAGCTGTCTTGAAGGGGACACAGGTTAAGTAACTTAGAAGATGGTAGAACTATGAAAAAATACAAAAACAAAACAAACCAGTATAGATTAGGAAACAGTGGCAAATAAAGAGGTTAAATCACTTGACCAAGGTCACGTGACTACTTACTTGCTAGTAAGTAACTTACTAGTAAATATCTGAAGGATTAAAATCTAGGACTTCCTGACTCCAAGTCCAGCATTTTATACACTATGACAGATTGCCTTTCAAAAAATACTTTGCAAAGGTGGCAGATGAAAAGAATTTGATCCAAGTCTGTACTTACAATTTTCTTTCAACTGCTCAATTACGGAGCCAGGAGGGATCAGGATGTTGTTGCTGCCTCCTAATTTTGCTTCTATATTTACTTCATGAGTATTATTCTTAGATAAACTAAGAGAAGGGAAAAAAGTTCATGTGACTTTTTAGTAATCAAATTTAACCATACTGCCTATCACAGAAATCCTATACATTAATTGCAAATTATTTCCCACTGTCTTTTTACATTATTAATACATTCTTATCTCTCCCTCCCCTGCTAGCCTTCTGTAACAATGATTAAAAAAGGGAAAAAACCAATTAATACATTCACTGTTTGACAATTAGTGCAATATTCCACAAACTGTAGTTCTTGACCCCATCAATGAAAGGAGAGAGGTGCATTTTCACAACTTTTCTCCAGGGCCTTGCTTGTTCATTATTACTACACAGCTTTAGTTCAATTTTATTATTCTCTTTATATTGTTGTAGTCATTGTATTATTTCTCCTGGGTTCACTGTTTACTCTGTATCAGTTCATGAACATCTTCCAGTGTTTCTCTGAATCTTTCACATTTGTATTGTCTTACAGCTTTGTGATATTACATTATCATGTAACAATTAAAAAAAAAGTAATTCCCTTAATTCTGCTTCCAGGTCTTCCCTACCATAGTGTGGCAGTATCTACTTGGGCATAAAGGGGACGTTTCTGTCTTCGACTTTCTTAAGTTATAAGCTCTGAATACATACAATGAGAACACTGAGTCAAAGGGTATAGATTTTTTCAAGCATTGTTCTAAATTATTTTCCATACTTTTATTGATTCACAGATCACGCAAGCAGTGTATTAATGAGACTGTCTTATTGCAGCTCTTTTAACATCTAAACTATTTCTATTGTTTATTATTTTTGACATTTTGTTGGGCTACATATAAGGTGAAATCCAAGAGTTAGAGTTTCTCTGGTTGTTTAAAGCAATTTTATATGGTAAATGGTTTGCAATTCTTTCTTTTTTAAATAATATTTCCCCCCCCAATTACATATAAAAACAATTTTTAACATTGGAGTTTTTAAGTTTTGAGTCCCAAATTTCATCCTTCCTCTCTCCTTGAGAAGGTAAGCAATCTGATATAGGTTATATATGTGCAATCATGTAAAACCTAATTCCATATTAATCACCCTGTGGAAGAAAACTTAAACCAAAAAAAGAAATGAAATAAAGAAAGTGAAAATTAACATTCTTTGGTCTGTATTCAGACACCATCAATTCTTTATCTGGAAGTGGATAGCATTTTTTGTCACAAGTCTTCTGGGATTATCTTGGATCACTGTATTGCTGAGAATAGCAAAGTCATTCAGTTGTTCTCTGTACATTATTGCTATTACTGTGTATGACTTTCTCTTGGCTTTGCTCACTTCACTCTGTCAGTTCACATATAAGTCTTTCCAGGTTTCTCTGAAATCATTCTGCCCATCACTTCTTACAGCACGGTAACATTCCATCACCATCATATACCACAATTTGTTCAGCCATTTCCCAGTTGATGGATATCCTCTCACTTTCCAATTCTGGGCCACCACAAAAAGAGCCACTACAAATATTTTTGTACAAATAGGTCCCTTTCTCCCTTTCTTGATCTCCTTGGGATACAGACCTGGTAGAGGTATTGCTGGATCAAAGGGTATACAGAGTTTTATAGCCCTTTTGGGCACAGTTCAAAATTGCTCTCCAGAATGGTTGGATCAGTTCACAATTCTAGCAACAGCAGTTTCTAATTCTTTTGGAATTGTTTTTTCATATAACCGTTGACCATGTATCTCTTGCAGAATGAATATCATCTGGCCGCATACATAAAATTATGTTCATTCTTTATGTATCTTAGATATCAGAACCTTTGAAGAGATATTTAATGAAAAGGTTTTTTCTTCAATTGAGATATTATCTTCATATCCTAATTGAACTGATTGTGCAAAATCTTTCCAACATCATTTAATCAAAACTATCTATTTGATCTTCTGTTAATATTTTCCCTCTCCACTTCCACATAAAAAAAATTTAAACCCTTCAATTTTTTGGTTACCTTTCATACTAAACCAAGTGTCGAGTTAGAACACTGTGATACAGGCTTTAAGTTGCTGGTACGAACTATTTAAACTACTTTCAACTTTTCCCAGAAGTTCTTCCTCAAGTAGCTAATGTTCTCAGGGTTCATGAAAGACTGGATTATTAAGAATCAGAAACAAACCCATGGAAATCTATTATGCTAATCAACATTTCTATTATTATTTTGCTTATTATTTCTTTTTAATCCCTCCAATTACTGTAATTCATTCTTTATTCCTTTCAAGTACTCTTGAGTGTGTCATGGTTGACTGACTCCCAGGTATTCTGAATGGAATTAAGACTTTTTATTATTTCTTCTAAAAATTGTTATTACTACATAGAAATGTTGATTCATACATTCTTTTTCTAACCTCACAGTTTTACTGACACTGTCCCAACTACTTTACTGATTCTTTGGGTATTTCAAAATAAATGATCATGTCATCTGCAAAAATGGATACTGGTCTCTCCTCTTTGTCAATTTTACCCTTTAATTTTTGTCTTATTGCTATCACTAAAATTATTAAAATTATGTCAATTAGTAGTAGGAAAAGAGAGCACCCTTGTTTAATCTCTGTTATTTCCTGTGAAAATTTCTAGTATGTTACTATTGCAAATAATGCTACCCTTTGGCTTCAGACATAAACTTATAATTAAAAAATGGTCCTTTTATACACTCATTTTTGGGGGGATTGTAGGATAAATGTTATGATTTGCCAATGAAGTTTCCTTCCTACATCCATTGATGTACCCATGTAGTACTTTTAAAAAATGTAATTATGTTGTTTTCCCGATACAGAACACTGTGTCCCTGGTACAAATAGAACTTCATCACAATGAATAATTTTTTTGGATATACTGCTCAAATCGTTTATCATCTGCATTTTATATTGTTAATATGAGTATATCACCCATTTCCTTATTTCCTTTACCATATCTGTTCTTTATTCTGTTTGGAAGGTTCTTTAGTTTCTCCCTATTTTCCTAGCTTTAATTATCAATCCTGTTCTGATCTTCTCCTACTCAAGTCTTAACTCTATGGTCAGCCATTTTAATGTTTCTTCTACTGCCCCTGAATTCTTTGCCTTGATAACTCTTAACTGATTCATCTGCAACTACTTCTGAGACACTGAATACTGTACCATGAGAATATAGTGTTAAGGACAGTAAGCAGGATGGGGTTGGGGGAGACAGCATGTAAGGAGGGGGTGATGACTGGTCCACAAATTTATGCTACCTAACTGAAATGGACTTATACAACTGCATAATAATCATCTTATTCAACTCTTGGTGATTTCCTATCACATTTTCTACAACAGTCTTTTCAATTTCTCTTCTGCAACCCCCCAAATACACTATTCTCTTAATACATAACCCTACAATACTGAGAAAGCTGGGGCCACGAAGAGGATTCTGGGAAGATGGGGGAGTAGGTCAGAAAATTCCAAGCTCTCAGGATTTTCCTCCACGACAGATAAAACGGTGTCTCAGGACAAATGTAGTGTGCTAAAAATAAATAACAAGAAGGGGCAGAACAGTGGTCCTCCTGTGATAATCAGAGAAGATCTGAAGAAAAATCCCTGGATGAGATTTGGTCCCTATGTAGAGTAAACACCTCGAAGCTTGGGAATGCTTAACCAGCAAGAAGCAAGCCCTGGTTAGTGGGGCTGGGAAGCTGCCTCAGCCCAGCCCCAGGAACTTTTATTCCTAGGACAATGAGGAGAGTTGGGTGTCTGAGGCCGGGAAAATCAAGGAAACTTTTGCTGATAAGGAATGCTAGACCCAGCTGTGCTGCAGAGATGCTGCAGGACCAGAAGGAAGCAGCACACACCCACTGGTGAGTGCAGAGACACCTCTGCTGTGGGCACTTACAGGAGGCTGGAGGTCTTGGTTTGGGATCAAGGTCAGAGAGAAGAACTGAAAGAGGATCTGAGGCCAGAGGTACCATCCCCTATATTCCAGAACTAGAGCGGATTACAAAAACTTAACCTATTTAAAAAAAAAAAAGGACAGGCAAAGGAGAAAGAATCCAACCATAGAGATACTATGGGAATAGACTTCATCTTCAGAGGAAGATAGTGAAGCAAAGAAACCCTCTTCTAACCCAAAGAGTAATGTCAAATGGTCAGCTGCCCAAAAAGAATTCATAGAAGAACTTAAAAAAAGACCTTAAAAATCAAATGAGAGAGACTGAGGAAAAACTAAAAAGAAAAAAAAAGAACAATCCAAGAAAAACAAGATTATGAAAAGAAAGTCAATTAATTAGAAGAGGAAATCCAGAATCTTAGGGAAAAAAATGACTCCTTGATAATCAGAATTGGGCAAGGGGAAGCCAGCCAAGTCATAAGAGACTAAGGAATAAGAAAACAAAATATAAAGGATGAAAAAACAGAAGAGAATGTGAAACATCTCATAAGAAAAACTGATCTGGAGAACAGATCAAGAAGAGAAAACATAAGAATAATTGGACAACCTGAAAGCCATGATCAAAAAAAGAAACTTGATGCAATAATACAAGAAATAAAGAAAATTGTCCTGAAGCATTAGAACAAAAAGGGAAAGTAGAAATAGAAAAGATCCACCAATCACCACCTGAAAGAGATTTTACAAGGAAAACCCATAGGAATGTTAGAGTTAAATTCTGAAACTCCCAGCTCAAGGATAAAATATTACAAGCAACAAGAAAAATGTTTACATATGATGGTGCCACAATTAGATTCACAATTAGAATCACACAAGACCTAGCAATAGCAGCACTAAAAGTCCGTCATCTTGGAACACTACATATTGAAGAGCAAAATAACTGGGCTTCCTGCTGAAAATCTCATATGCAGCAAAGTTAAGCATAATCCTGAATGGAAAAAAAATGGATATTTAATGAATTGTCAGACTTTCAGGACTTTGTTTAAAACAAAGAAACAACCAGAACTTAATAGCAGATTTGACATACAAAAGCCAAGAGAAATATAAGATACATACCAAAGACCAATTACAAGGGACTCAATAAGGACAGACTGTTTACCTTTCATGTATATAAAATGTAAAACGTATGTCTAAGATTGTTATTAACAGTTGGGTAGTTCATAAGATTAGGGTAGATCAGAGCATGATATGACTTCAAAAAGTAAAACTGTTCAGGAACAGCTAAAAAGAGTAATTATCTTATATAAATGAGGTGGGAGAGTAGGAACCAACACAGAGGAATTAGACCGGGGGGGGGGGGGGGGCACGAGCCTCGGGGGCGGGGGCTGGTCGTTCTGGAAACGTACTTTCATCTGGAATAGGTTCAAGAAGGAAGAGTGTGTGTGTGTGTGTGTGTATAAAAGTATAAAAGTCTGACGTTAGAAAGAAATAAATTTAAAAGAAATTTAGAAAAATTTAAATTTAGAAGTAAATTTAAAAGAAATTTAGAAAGAAATAAAACTCTAAGGAGATGAGGGGAAAGAGGATAAGGGAGGGTTCTTTAGAAGGGAGGATGAGGGAATAGGTTGAAGGGTGTCTAGATTAATGGGAATGGGAGGATAAGAGAGGGATCCTTGGGAGGATAAGAGGGGGATCTCTAGAGGGGAGGGTAAGGGAATAAATAGGTTAAAGGAGGGGTACAGAAGGATGTTTAGATTTATGGGAATGGGAGGACAAGGAAGGGATCCTTGGAGAGGGGGTAGGTTAAGTAACAGGAGAGCAAGGTAGCGGGTAGACATAAAGTAGAGGAGTCAGGTGGGATAGGAAATAAGAGATATGAACAAACATAAAAACAAAGATTAGGAGTAGAATTTGTTAGGGAAAGTATATGTTTCTAAATCTACATATAAATATATCCACACTTATATGTCGCCTGGTGGGGGAGGGAGGGGAAGGGGGGAAAAACAACAAAGTAAAAAGTGTACAGCAGAGAATAAAAGAAAACCTACAAGGAAGCAAACTAAAAACAGACAGCCCTTAACACAACGTGCCGTATTTAACAGATAGGCTTGCACAAGATCACACAACTGGTATCTGTGGCCAGATCTGAATTCTAGTCTTCCCACTTTCTGGCCCAGCTCTATATCTATTGTACCACCTTTCCGTCTTAACTGCCTGGATACTGGGAATACAACTACAAAGGTGAGAAAGAATTGGAGTTGTATGTTAATGCTAAAGATGCCAAGGTCATCAAAGGAAAAAATTTAATATAACTAACACTTATTAAACATGTATTACGTGTACATGACATACATTGATCTACATATGGACTAATTTCTTTTACATACTTTGAACTCCTTTGTTTATTTATTTTTTTTGATGAGGGCAATTGGGGTTAAGTGACTTGCCCAGGCTCAGTGAATGTTATGTGTCTGAGGCTGGATTTGAACTCAGGTCCTCCTGACTCCAAGGTCAGTGCTCTATCCACTGTGCCACCTAGCTGCCCCTCTTTTACACACTTCGACCAAATACCAGAGAAATCTTAATTCTCACAGATTATGTTGTTTGCTCACTAACTGAACCAGATACTAAAGAACAGACAGATCAGCACAAATTCATCACTAAACAACCTAAGAGTGTTCTACTGACAACAGGTATTAAGAACCACTTTTGCATATGAAAAGCATCTCTAGTAAAATTTTAGTTGCAGAGACCTTGAAATTCATTTGTGAAAAAGTATTTTTGGAATTATCTGTTTTTTAAAACCTAAATATAGTGATTTCAGTCTAACCTTCTAGTCCTTTTTCCATATATCAAGGATAACTAAGATCTGACTATATCTACAATGACAGTAATACACACATACAATGCAACTGGGGGAACACTGTGCATTAATAATAATTGACCTTCAAACAGTAATAAGAGGGTTCATATATCATCTCATTTGATCTGCACAATCATCCTGTAAGGTAAATACTATCGGTATCCTCATTGTACAGATTAGGAAATGAGGCCAAGAGAAAAAGAGTGTCAACTTGGAGTCAGAAAGCGTGGGTTCTTGGCCTGTCACCCAATAGCTTTATGGCCACAGCAAACTTCATCTCTTAAGCTTTAATCACCTTACTTCTAGAATAGGAACAGTAATTCAATTGAAACATTTATTAAGCACTGGTGTTAGGAAATGGGTGAGATACAAAGTTTAGTTAAGTCTTTACCCTCATGAAACATTACTAAAACGACAAGTATAAAATAGTATGCAAGTGTCCGAAGGAGGTACAAATAAAATTCTGTGAGGTCTGAGGGGACAGGGGAATTTCTGACAAAAGACTCAGAAAAGACTTCCTGGAACTGGTGGCATTTGGGTTGGGTTTTATTTAAGGAATAAGGAGGAATTCAATAGGTGGGGACAGAGGAGATAGGTGTGGAGGTAAACACTAATGAGACTTGGCAAATTAACAGATAGGGGAAATGTGGGAAAGGGAAAAGTTGAGGATTACTACCAGTTAGCAAATCTGGATGACTGGAAGGACAGCTGTGCCCTCAACAAATACAGGGAAGTTTGGAGTGGAGAGGGGTTTTGGGAAAACACAACTAGTTCTGTTTTTAGACATGTTGAGATGTTGTCTACATGAGACTGGAGTTTAGGAAAGAGACTGGGACAGATATTTGGGAATCATCTGCATAGAGATAACTAAACCCATGGGCTCTGATTAGCTCACCAAGAGGGTAGGAGAGAGGCTTAGAAGATGCTGACAGTGGGTGGGAAGACAATGTCAAGTAATCAAATTCTGAGTATGGGAAATTACATGAGGCGGCAGGAGAATGATAACATATGTGACAGAAAACAAAGAAGAAGGTAGTTATCTTGAGCTTAAAGTGTCAACTTAACATCCTGCTATAGATGTGGAATAACAGCTTGGGAGAGACGTTGGAGAGGTCTTAACTCTTCCTTTACTGCAAAGAGAAAACAGTCAACTTTCCTCATCCTCACCTCCCTCTACCCTTTTCTTTTAACTTCATTCTATTTTTTTCTCCACTATAGCTTCAAGACCATGGCATTTAGAGCTAGATGGGACCTTAATGCTGATCTACTCCAACCCCTTCATTTTACAGGTCCAGACGGGTTAAGTGATTTAGCTAAGAATCCCTTAGGAAGTACAGTTCAGATTCAAGGTCAGGTCTTTACTCAAAATCCACTGCTTTTTTCTACTAGACCATGCAGCTTTTTTCAGTAAGTCTTACCACAGAATACCCTTCCTGAAGCTATCTTTCCATTCTTTCAATCTGATAATCAGCAACTTCTTAAAAGAATGGTCTTTTATTGCCTAAAATGTTACACATTATAATTTATAGTTCAGAAGTTTTTAGTTGAATCATTTAGCAGTATCAATTTGATTCCTAGAAATGGCCTAATTCTATTTATTTTATGTAACAAGTCTTATACAAGGGCAGCCATGTTACAAGGATAAAACCTCAGACTTGTCATTAAGTAAATTGTTTACTATTAGACTGGGCTTCATTGAGACTTGTTTCTGCTTTGCCTGCCTGCCCACTTTGATTTAGCTCTGAGCTGTTCTCCCTTCCAGAGAAGATTGAAGGGCCAGCTCTTGATTTTTGAGGGACTTAGTGAAATGCATAGACCTGTTAAAGATTACACCTTTAGCAAAGTGTAGGCACACAGTGTGAAGAACTATGTGCTTGCTTTCTGAGAAAAAACCAAGACCTTAAGAGTGAAACAACACTGGCAAACTAAAGCTAGTGAAACAACCTGAGATTAGATTTAAGTAAGAACTATTAATAGGGTACTTATGGATATTTATTATCATTACAATTCCCCTCCCTCCTTTATAAAAGCAGGGTGTCTATGAAAACAGAAAGCTCTACAAGCATCGGTGGTTGCTGGTTATGGTTACAGATGATGATTCCCCAAATCTTGTGTGGGTAGTCTAGAAGGACTTCCTAGATTAAGTGAAATCTAAAAGACTAATGCATCTTATGAAACCCTTTTTCATATGCCAGGTGAAGTTCTTAGAAGATGAGTAAATCCTTTTGGAGGGACATTAAAACTGTAAAAATAAAATTAAAATCTCAATTTCTGAAAGAAAAAAAAACAACCAAAAATCCTCCCATTTCCCTCCCTAAACAATTACATTAAATAAAAATATAAAGACACTAGATACGAGAAAGCAAGTAGTGCAAAAGTAACTAGCAACTTAGAAAGACTTACATAACAGATCTTACCTTTTATTTTTCTGGGCATTTTTAAGCACCATTGTGTAATCATTATTTAAACACATGGTATGTTCTGAAATACCAAAGTGTTCCAGCTTAGGAGTTACCACTGCATACTCATCCATCTTTAAGTTGCATTTTGGAGTTCTCAACACTTTAGGGGAGGTCTGTTTCAAAGGCGTATGCACAGTTATTTGCTCTCTCTTAGGAATATTCATTGCTGGTGGATGAACATTCCAATTTCTGGAAAACATATACTTTTCCAGTCCAAAATCTGACAGCTGCGGACTACGTGGAGGGCTGTGAGAAACACGGTTGTTTTGAACACAACCACGAGATGTATCTTCTTTCTCTGTCTCAGACTTCGGAGAGTTTTTGCAGTTAGCTTCCTCTTGTTTAACATCACCAACATTCTCCTTTATCACTGAAAAACACATTCAAAATCAAAGAGATACAACAATTGTTAAACATTAATACATAAAATCGTATATGACCAAAATAAAAAGGTTCTAGTTAGAATTGCTTAGATGAGTCTAACTCCTGCTGGTTTCAACCACAGTGTTCCCACATTTTAAAAATGTGTTCCTGTAGAAAAGACAGATGAAAAGAAACAGTTACAGAGTTTGAGTCACTCTTCCTTATTTTCTGCGACTAAGCACATTAATATTTGCCATGTTCTCTAACATGCTATTTTAACACTTTGATCTACTTATTGGTTTATGATGTAAATAACAAGAGGCAATACGATATAACACAGGGATATATGGACTTGGAGTCAGGGAGACGTGGGTACAGGTCTTTTTTGGACACATACTAGTTGTGTGACTCACTCATCTTTAAGACTTTAAATAATGGAAGTTCCTCATCTTGCATTGGCAGATGGAATTTTCTACGTAGATGAAACCACTGCTCCAGACCCAAATATATATAATATGAAAATATTTGCATTTATACTTTAAAATATCTTGCATTACATGTTTTTTTTTATCCTTATGTTCAAATAGAAGGGAAATTATTATACACAAATGAGAAAACAAGTAATGTTTAATTACAAACCCAAGGCAGGCTAATGTCAAAATCCAAAATGCACTGACTTTAGGTCAAATTACTTTTTTCTATTTGACTTCTCACATACCTCTTTTTTCCAAAGGACTCAATATATTTTCACACCTGTCATTTTGTTTTGCCCCTATAATATCCTGTGATAGGACAAGCTCAATGATTCCCATTTTAATGGATCTAGTTAACTGAGATCAGAAGTTAAATGCCTAGTCATAAAGTGGGATCAGAAAGCTTTTATCTTTAGTATTTTCCATTTTACCATACTGTCTTCTATGCTACTTAGACTCTGAAGTTTCTTCATCTGCAACATGAGGTGGCAAAATGAGATAATCTGTTCAGTTCCTTCCAACTCTTAACACTCTATAACTCCATGATACTAAAATAATTCATTATGAAGTAAAAATTATTCAAACCTGGATCTTCCATAGCACTTGGCTTATATCCATATTTCTGAAATAAGTCTCTTATTTTTGTGATGTCCATTTTATTCCTTTCCATCAGCAATTTGGTGTTCTTTATAAAACTGTTGCTTTCTTGCCTCTCTGAATGACTTTTATCCAGAAGAATATTAACATCATCCTAGGGAAAATATATATGACCAACTTTTGGTGAGATGCTATTAGAATAACTGGAGTTACAAAATATTGAAACATGACAAATTAACATTCTCCAAATGATACCTTTAGAGTCTTCACTTCCAAATGCAAGTCATGTAAAATTCTCATTGGAGAATCTTCAAAGTCTGTGATATAAATGACAAGGAAGGAAAAATACCCAATAGAGTCAAAAAGAAGATTGGAATCCATAAGACATAACAGTATGTTATCCTAGCCTTCTATGCTTATTAATATTTTTAAACATTTTCTTCACTTTTTAAAACACAACTTGCCCTTTCCTCACCCTCTACCTACTCCCAATTAATCACAAAAATTATACATTTAGAGATGAAAGAGATCCTATAAGTTCATTTAATCCAATTTTCTCATTTTATAAAGGAGGAAACTGAAACCACGAGGGGTGAAGTGACTTGCCCAAAGTCACATAAGTAAATAATTCACAAAATCAAGATTTGAATCCAGTTCTGGTTCCAAATCCAGGACTCTTTCCACTGCACCAGGGTGTGAAAAGACCTCTACTCTCCAAGTCAGAAGGTCTGTGTCCTCCACCTCTATGATCTTCTCCAAGTCACTAACTTCTCCGGGTCTGTTTTCTCATCAGTAAAATGAGAGTTGTATTTAATGACTTAAAAGCTCCTTATGAAGGGTCCCCTCCTGACTCTCTCCCCCACCTTTCCAGCCTGCTCATACTTTACCCCCCTTCACATAAGAGACTGTTTTTTCTTCCGGATACTCTCACAGCACACGTCATCTCCGGACTCCACGCCTTTGCCTTGGCCGTTTCCTATTCGCGGTATGCTTTCCCCTCCTCCTTTGTGCTTCCTGGCTTTTAGACTCAGCTCAAAGCATTGTGCTAAACACTGGGGTACAAAGAAATGGACATGCCCCCCCCACCCCGTCCTCGAGAAGCTCACAATCCAATGGGGAAGAGGCCATAAAGATCACTTTCTACAAACAAGCTGTGTACAAATTAAACTAGATCTTATCGGCAGAAGGAAGGCCACCCGAACCGCCTCCCGTTTACCTTGCATCTTGCACGGGCAGTGATTTGCCTATAGCCTCCCCCATTAGACTGAGCTTCTTGAGGAGAGGGATCTTGTTTTTGCCTTTTATTGTACACTCAGCACTTAGCACAGGGCTGTTGACCGACTAGAGGACCTCCCTCGGGCTCTCCTTTCGTACACAGAAGGCGCGGGAGCGCTCGCCGCCTTGGGCAGAGACGCGCCCTCGCCCCTCGCCCCTCCGCCCCTCACCCTCATCTTCTCCGTTCAGCGCCCGCTGCAGCTGAGCCGTCTCCCTCTCCAAGGTCACGGCCAGGTCACGCAGCTTCCCACAGAACTTTCCGACGGGATCCATGGGCAAAGTCGGGGAGGCTCGGGCACAGCACCCAGCTCCAAACCGGCAGCAGCTCCAAACGGGTAGCAGCTCCGGCAAACCACGCGCGCCGCCGTTCGTTTGAATCCCTCCGCGTCCCAAACTGTATTGGTTCGGAGGGACGGCCTCTTCCCGTTCCTCCCCTCGCGGGACCGGAGCTCTCGCGCGAGTAGGAGGAGGAAGGCGATTGGCCACGGCGGAGCCTAAGCGGCTCGGCAGGTTTTCCACACCGTGTCAGTACGCCGCGGGAGCCGAGGCCTGTGTGTTAGCTCAGGTCTCCTTCTCGCCAGGTAACGTCGGACCCACTTGGGAGCTTCGGCCCCGCGGTCGGAGAGGGGGGAGGGCGGCGTGCGCGGCGCGGTAGCCTCTTCGAGGGGGCACCGCGCGCTTAGGCCGTTCTGTCCCCTCCTCTCAGGCACCATGTTCCTGACCGCTCTCCTGCGCCGCAGCCGCATCCCTGGGAAGCAGTGGATCGGGAAGCACCGCAGGCCGCGGAAGGTGACGTGGGGGATGAAGCAGGGCATGATCAGGAGGCTGGAGATCGAGGCGGAGAACGAGTACTGGCTGAGCATGCCCTACATGACCAGGGAGCAGGAGTTCAACCATTCGGCCGCCCGCCGGCGAGAGAACTTCGAGGCCATCAAGCTGGCGCAGGCGGCCAAGTTCCCGCCGCACAGGTTCTTCGAGGACCAGCTCAGCCATCTCAGCGTTTCCAAGAAGTGGTCCTGAACCGCCGCCGCCGCCGCTGCCCCTGCCCCGGGCTGCGCAGACCGGGAGCCGCGCCACGGAAGCCGCCTGTGGGAGGGGGGTCCGCAGGTCCCCGCCTTGGGACCCCAGACCCGCGCTGCTCGAGACTGGAGGAGGAGGAGGAGGCGGCGGAGGCAGCTCCTAGGAGGTTTCCCGAACCGCGGGGAGGCTGAAGCCGAAATGATCTGGAGGGAAGAATCAATAAAGCTACCAATTATTCTTTGTTGTTCTGTGTCGAAGGATAAAATTTTGGGGAAGGGGTGGGGAGGGGAAAGAGTTATAAGTTGTAACATTCGCTTTCCATCAGAGTTCAGGGATGCTGGTTTTAATTTTTTTTTGGAATAAGCCAGGGTTTCTTAACTTTTTTGTTTGTATGTCATGGAGCCCTTTGGCAGTCTGGTGAAAATTGTAATCTCCTCAGAATGTTTTTAAAGGCACAAAATACCTACTTTTACAAAGGAAGTTAGTCATCTTGAAATAGTTATCAAAATATTAAAAAAAAAAACAAACAACACATAGGTTTAAGGACCCCTAAGGTTAAGAGTCCCCGGTCTAAGCATAAAACAAAAAAAGGCACTGAATTTTTGAGGTGGCTAAACTTGTTCTTACAGAAGAACTATATGAAAATGGGTGAATTTAGGTGAAATTTGAAATATAATAAAAGTAACATTGTAAGAGGATTAGTCTGTCAATTGTCCTAATTTGTTTAGATGAAAGGAGGAGTCTGGCTATGTTACCTCAATAAATTCTCATGACTCCCTCTTAGGAGGTTATGTAGAATTTCTCTAGAATCATATATAACCTCTAGCATTTAAAACCTCTTACAAATTGGCCCTGGCCTATTTTTACGGTCTTATTACACTGCTATATTTGGAGTTGGGTTCTTGGGTTCAGTGCTGCCACTATTTTAACACTGTGTGACCTTAGTGAAGTCACTTTTCACAGCCTCAGTTTCCTCATTTGTAAAAAGAAGGGAGTTGGAGAAGGAAACACCCAAAGCCAATGGCCATGGTTGAACATGGCCTGGAAAAAATAGCTTTGTACCTACTTTGTCTTGACAGTGCCTTTTTAAAGTATTGTACCCCCTCTAATTTCTGCATAAATGAATTAATTGATGGTAAGTTTTAAAGAACATGGTAAAAGGAAATTTTATTATGAATCTATATTAAGTACTGTATTGTTTCAATTTAACATTTCTCTGGTGGCATTTGTGAGCTGGTTAATCTGTATGAAGTGGTTGTAAATAGCAAAGGTTCATATTTTAGTGGATTCTTTGTACCTTGTACAAGTACCTTTTTGGGGGAAAAAAAAGCAAGCTGATGAATTAAATGTTTATAGCTTTTCATATTAAATCATTAATTTGTGTCTCACCTCCCATCCCTCTAAAAAAAGAAGGGAGTTGGACTAAATCTCTGTATTCCCTTCCAGCTCAGTCTATGATCTTATCAAGTAGGAGAATAGGGCATAGAAGCAAAGGAAGGAATTTGAGGAGGGAAGGAGTTGTCATTAACATCAAATGGTAACCAGAAGGCCAAGGAGGTTGAAAATTTGGTAATTGAGGTGATTGGTGTCCTTTGAGTAAATTGTCCATCAGGTGATAAGGATAAAAGGTTAAAGAGTGGGTCATGAGTAAGTAAAAGCAGGTAAAAAGCAGAGTCTTGTCTTTTCACATCTGGTGGAAATTAGGACTAGGATTGTTTGTTAAAGATTTAAACAAATGAGCATATTCTTTTACTTTCCAATTCATGCTTTTTTTTTTTAACATGAATTCATCTTTCATCACCATTAAAAAATGAAAACACTTCGATTTGTAGTAAGGTCTAGAGGGAAAAACTTGGGATTTAGAATCAGGAGACCTAGCAATATCATTTAGTAGCTGTGACAGTTGGTGAAGTATGCTTTTTGACAAGTAACATCAGACCCAGTCAGGGCGATTTGCCCCAGTGGTAGATAGCCCATTTCCTAATCTGTTAATTAAGGATTGTTTGTTTTTTGTCTTGGTTACAGAGTTGTGAAGAAAGCACTTTGTAAACCTGACAACAGTATATAAATGTGAGCCATTATCAGAGTTCTTAACATTGTGAGATCTTAAGCAAATACTATCTTAACTAGGTAACAATTGTTTGGGTTTTCAGTTGGGGTTTTCTTGGCAAAAATCCTGCAGTGGTTTGCCATTTTCTTTCTCCAGCTTATTTTACAGATGAGGAAACTGAGGCAAACAGGTTAAGCGACTTGCCCAGGGTCATACAGCTAGTAAATGTGTGAAGCTAGATTTGAACTCAGGAAGATGGAAGTTTTCCTGACTCCAGGCCTGGCACTCTATTTCTGCACCACCTAGCCGTCCACAATAGCTAGTATTTATATAGTAGTTGAAGGTTTGCAAAGTGCTTTCCATGTTATCTCATTTGATCTTCACAATCCTATGAGATAGGTGCTATTGCTATCATCCCCATTTTAAAGAGGAGGAAACTGAAGCATTCCTCATTTGAGTACAATTTCTTAAAATGTGTTAACTTTGCTCTTCCCCATGATTCCAATCCAGATCCAGTCAATCTGTCTCCATTCTACCCTTGACTTATTTCACATTAATCCAAGTCATTCTTAGTCAAGCCAAACTGGCCGATTTGGTGTTCCACTTGAATTTGGCATTCCTTTCCCATTGGCTTACCTTTCTCTGTGCCTGGTATGTACAGTTTCACCTTTGCTTCAGAATTCTCACTTTCCTCCAACACTCATCTCAGGTGCCATCTCTCATAGGAAGCCTTTCCTGATCAACCTAGTCATCAGTGCTCTTTCCCTCCTCAAATTGTATTTACTTATCTACTGCTTTCCTCCAATAGAGTGTTTCTTGTGGGCAGGGATTGTTTTACATTTTTGTTTTTGAAGCATCTAGAGCACCTTCCTCTCTGTGTGCATGCTTGTGTATGTTTGTTTGCTTCTTAAACCAGATCTGTGATTTCATCAGTGCAAGAAAATCTGGGCAAGGAAATTCTCTTTACTAATAAAATTAGATCAGCAACTGCCTGGGGCACAGTGGACAGAGTGCTGAGCCTGGAGCTGGGAAGACTTCCATCTTCCTGAGTTCAAATGTGGCCTCAGACACTTATTAGCTGTGTGACCCTGGGCAAATCACCTGTTTGCCTTAGTTTCCTCATGTGTAAAATGAGCTGGAGAAGGAAAATAGCAAACCACTCTAGGATCTTTGCCAAAAAAACCCCAAATGGGATCATGAGAGTTGGCCACAACTGAACAACAACTGCCCTATACTTTGTATTTAGAGAGTTGTCTGGGGTCCTGAAAAGTTGTGACTTCTTAAGGTCTCACAGCCAGTATGTCATAGATTATAGATGTATGTTTGAATAGACCTCAAAGGCCATCTGGTCTACTCCCCCATGAGATTCATGGAAGTTAAATGACTTTTTCAATCACGCAAGGTAGTGTCAGAAGTGGGATCTGAACACAGGTCTTTCTGATTCTGAGTCCAGCTCTGTGCTTCACAATGCTTCCCTGCCTCATACAGAGAAGCAGCTTGCTGAATTAAGGTTAGGAGAAAGGAGGAAAATGACAAAGGCCTCAGAGGGCCTTAGAGCCCTCAACAGTGACTTCTTACTATCCTGGTTCATTCCAACACCTTGCCACGAACATTCATTTGTGGCTTCCTAAGAGTTGAAGACAATGAAACTTCAATCATAAAGTTTCATAGATGGTAAAGGATCTTAGGTCTAGATTATCTAGTTTAACCTAATTTTACAGAGGAAGAAACTGAAGCCTACAGAGGTCATATATTTGGAGAGATCTAAGCCATCAACAAAAGCTCACTTTGTATATGTAGATTATAAGTGCATTCCTCATATAAAGATAGTACAAGCATTGTCCTATTCGCAGGTAGGAAAATTGAGGCTCTGAGGGATGATGCTGTTCACTGTCACATATCCAGTTGTAGTGCCAGGAGGGGAGAAAACAACTATCATTGAAACTTTTCATTCTCTTCTCTCTAAAGTTAATGAGAGTCTACATATTACAGTTATCCCTTCCACATTGCGCCTTTCCCCATTGTGGTTTTGATATGTCATGGGTTGGCATAAGAAATTAAACAGGATTATTTCGGGAGTTTTGCAGAAGCTGCAGATGACATGTGAAGGTCAGCAAATGACAGAAAAAGTTTAGAAATTCAGAAATGCATAAAATATATGTATAGTATTATATAATATCAACATATTTTATCTTTTAATACCATAACAATTCAGGCTGCTTTTCTGGTACAAAGGGAGGACCAAAAAATTTGATGCACATTTTCCAGATTAAGGGGCGCTAGGCCCCTAACCCCTATTGTAGATATACATAGTAGTGATGAGCAGAACTGTTTAAAAGTTCCTTGTCTGTAGTCAAATGCATATTATTATTGAAAAATGTCTGTGGCCAAGATCTGAGCATAGTTCCTTTAGCATAGGTATAGCCAAATTCCCTATGAGTTTGGTTCACAAAACCTTGGGCCCAATCTTCTAGATTTTTGAACATTTTACCAATAGAGGAAGCTGAAAAGAGGGAAGGAGGGAAGTTTCTTCATTCGAAGTCAAGCAATCGATATATAGGATAAATGAATAAGGGAACACTTTTCTAAGATGAGTGGAAAACAAACTTGTTGAGGGTAGGGATAATGTGTGATGAACTGGGGTGTCTAAACTGCAGATAACCAAATTACTTTCTCATAATAATTAGAAGTTTGCAGTCATCACTCTCCTCCCTTTTATATTCAGTTATTATAAGTGTCTCCCAGTAAACTGCAAGTATTAAGCCTACAGAGTTGTAGCTATCTTTGTACCTCCAAATCTATGTCATAGTACTCTGCACTTAATAAACTTAATGTCTGCTAAAATGAATTAACCCTATTTTCAAGTTGATCAAAGCTAGTGAGTATGCATAATTTAAAATAAATTAATGTTTAATTTACATTATTTGGTGAAAGCCCTAAACAAGCAGAATACAAGCTCTGGCAAATAAATGCTGGTAAACTTTTGAGATGCCTGTCATTAAGAGAGGCTCATCACAGGTTGGTCTCTTGCTGATAAATTTTTTCGGCCATAGAAATCTTCATACAACAGAAACATAATTACATGGTTGTGATATGCACTGATGGAGGGAATCTTCCATACTAATAAAACCATGGATCACTGAAGTATTTGGTAAATGTGACTTTTGGACAAAGACAATGTTACAGTACTTAA